GGGGGGGGGTATGCCTCTCGATCTTAAGTTTTTCTCCAATTTAAAAAAAAAATACAATAAGCCTTTGTGATTTCTACATCACATTTTTTATGCCGCCTGGTGAAGCAGATGACTAATAAGAAAATTAATTTACCTACTGTATATAAGACGGTGCAGAAAAAACACATTTGCTTTTTGAAATATCACGTAAAGCAAAAGCTGATTTTTGTTTATTCTAATTTGGTAAATAATGATCCAATCAGAACACCACTGGGACAGTAAGCAAAAGTTCTAAACATGTGACTTCAGTTTCAGCAACAACACTGTACAAACCTTAAAGCTTATTTTCCCAGCTGCCATATTCATTACTTTTACACAGATAGAGTATAAATGAGAAAAAACAAAACCCCAAAAGCTCAGAAGAAATTGTTGCCGCCGCATGAATCATAAGGTCTTGTATTGTAGTCCTGTATTATGATAATTCTTATTCCAGGACTGAAGTCTCTGCTGTAATAACTGCACTGCTCTTTTAAGTGTATCTTTGGTGTTAGAGGCTCTCCTGGCTGAGTGCCCTGTATGTCGACAGTGGAAAGTACACGACAGCCTTCACACAGAACTGTTCTCCTGGGTTTGTTCATCTCTGCGTTCAAGCTCTATTCCCTCTCACCCCCCGCAGCATCTTTCTTCACTCAAATCAAAAAGGAAATTGGGGGGAGGAGAAGGGAAGAAAGGAAGAAGGGAGAACATTCATCGTCTGCTTAAGTGAGAAATGTTATAAAAAAGAAAAGAAAAAAAAATCAGCAGCAGCAGCAGCACTCACCCCAGGGAGTTGGACATTTAGACAGAAAAGAGAGAACTGTGTTTATACGTCTGTGCCCAGCCTCCAGTACAGAAACAATCTGGGTTTTTTTATTTTTTTCTGCAGCGGTAAGTTGGTCACACTGTCTCGCCTCAACCTCTGCTGAAACATGCCGCTTTCATGATGATGCAAAGATAATTGGATGCGACTGCATCGGAGCTAAATTGAGATGGATTGAAACACGGATCAATACTGGTAAGTGACTGGCTGTGTTGTGCCGATTGGATGTGCTCTCACCCTCTCCTTCTCAGTGTCCAGCTCTAATTTTCGCCACAACATCATAAATCCACTATGTGGTGCCTATATAGGCTCATTAGTGGCTGGGTCAAGGGGGGGGGGGGGGGGGGGGTGAGGACGAGGGCGGGAGGATGCAGACGTGGAGCCACGGTTTGGAACACAGCGCGGTGGTTACCTTTTTGATTGCCTGGCACTTGGAGATCTCCGAGTGACCGATCATCTTGTCTGGAGAGCAGATCTTAATGAACGGGAACTGAGAGTCCTCCGCAATCTTAGCCGCCAGGGCCGTCTTCCCACTGTGGGGGGGGCCTGGGTGGGGGTCGGGGAAAGGACGGAGGTTTTTCTCTGCAGTGGTTCACACCGTTACCGTTACATCATTGTGGGCCGTTCTTACCCTCCAACAACACGGTCACCAGCGGCGTGCGGTCACTGTTCTTGGTCTGCTGCACCAGCAGCTCGCCGTCGTCCATGACGTGGGTCACGGGGTCGCCCCACTTGATGATACCGTTCATGATGTAGCTGGAGTAATCCTCCTGGTTGGTGCCGAAGGCCTGGAACAAAGAGAGTGAGAAAATACAGAGTGAGGGGCGTTATTCCAGACCAGTGTGTTCTGGTGAGTGAGCGCCACCTACAGGTTTGATGTCATTATTCAGGGAGCCCATGAAGTCTGATCTGGTGACCAGCAGCTTCTCTGCCCTCTCCATGTCCACCTCTACAGTAGACGTAGCCTGTGGGGGGAGGAGCGGCTGTGTTAATGTAACAGAACAAAAACCTCCTCCAGTTCACGTCGGGTCAGAACCACTGGGAGACCTTGATGTGTCGGTTCATGGCCGTGGACTGGGCCGCCCGGACCAGACCCTCCAGTTCAGCACCGCTGTAGTTCTTGGTCTCTGCTGCCAGCTCCTTGACATCCACATCACTGGCCAGGAGGTTGAAGTTTCGCATCTTACTGGTGTGAATGTTGAGGATCTGAAGGCGACCTTTCTCATCGGGCAGACCTGGAGGTCAGGAGACCAAGGGGTGAGGAGGGGGGAGAGAGGGTGTGTGAAGAGACACAAGGGGTGGTGGAGGTACAAACAATATGAAGCTATGAAGGGTTGAACGCCCCCTACTGTTCACACACAGAATAGCAGCTGAACTTTGAACCAGTAATCAGACCGACCTCAGTCCAAACGACAGAACATCACAGACTGGACACCTTGACCACTGAGGTTTGTCTCAGGGGAAAGTCACTCACCGATTTCCATCTTGACTTCAAACCTGCCGGGTCTCATCAGAGCCTCGTCGATCAGGTCGGGTCTGTTGGTCATTCCTGACGTGAAGAAGAAGAAAAAGAAGAAGAATCCGTTTCAACCAGTTATTCTGGTGGGATTGAGAACCTGAAGATGTAACAGGTCAGAACACGTGTCAAAGACACAGGCATTAACGCAGCCAGCAGAGGGAGACTTCACAGCAAAATGTTCTGTTTGCACTTACTTCCACAAAAAAGACACTTATTAATATTGTCATTAGCACTAGGAGCTACTTTATTAACTTCATTTAAATGATAACACAGAGATTATACAGAATATATACCACATACTAGTAGTATATACTATAAATACTGCAGTATTTATAGTATATACCACATACTAGTAGTTTATATATTTATATAAAGTTATATACTGCAGCCAGGATGACTCACCAACACCTGCATGGACCAAACAGTTCTTTAAGTTCTGTGACAGCAGCCTGTGTATCGTTACTGCCACCTGCTGGTCATTCAACAGTTACTGTTTTGTGGACATTTTAAATCCTTCACATGGACAACTGAGTCACCGTCTGTCCAGCAGTATCTGAGGAAGTATCAGGTCTAGTAACTGGACCAGGTCTAAGGGTTGGTCCATCAGTTAGTCTGGATCAACGAAGCCCCACTGAGGGATCGGGACCTGGAGGGTGTGGACCACATGCAGGCCTCGGGCCGCGGTTTGATGTTACGTACCAATGACCAGGATGTTGTTGAGCTGCTCCACTCCGTCGATCTTGGACAGAAGCTGGTTGACCACGGTGTCGTGCACCCCCGTGCTGCTGGCCCCCGTTCCTCTCTGCTTGCAGATGGCATCCAGCTCGTCAAAGATGATGATGTGGAGACCACTGTTGGCCCCCAGCTGCAGGAGGAGCAGGGAGGTGAGGAGACGGACTCTGTGTCCTGAACACCAACAAGGTCACNCTCCCGCCCCCACCCCCCTCACCCTCTTCTGCTCCTCCTCTGCATCAGCGAACAGTTTGCGGATGTTGGCCTCAGACTCGCCCACGTATTTGTTCAGGATCTCGGGTCCATTGACGACCTTTGGCTCCCGGGCGTTCAGCATCTTTCCGATCTGCCTGGCCATCAGTGTCTTACCACAGCCTGGGGGGCCGAACAGCAAGATGCCCTTCACGTGTTTACATCCTGAAAACAGAGGAGGAGGAAGAGGAGGACGCAGATGTCACCCAGTTGAAGAAGGGACTAAGGTGGGGGTCAACCTGAGGTCAGAGGTCACTGTCAGTGCTGCTGTTTTTTACCCATTTGTTCAACGATGTCTGGAGGAAAGACTCTGGAAGCAAAGGCTCTCCGGAAAATGTCAGAGAACTCCTTGTCCAGACCTCCGATTCCCATCTTCTCAAAGTTCCAGTCTGGGTTGATGATGGTCTGTCGGGCCTCCTTGGTCTTGGCCTTCCCTGTGACCACGCAGACAGAACCAGACAGAACCAGACAGAACTTTTACTTCAAGTCAAAGTGACAAAAAACACCAGGTGAAAGTGGAGTACAGCCTGGACATGTACTGCTGCCATCTGGTGGCCAAACTGAAGACGTGTTAGTTAAATGATGCTCCACCTACAGGTTGTAGGAGTGTACTGTTGTTGTACTGAAGAAAAGCCCATAAAGATGAAACATACCGACCAGTGTGAGGGGGGAGTTTTCTGCCTTCTCAAAAATCACCTGACTGTTTCCCACCATCAGCCCGTGGTCGATCTGTCACAGAACACAGAGAAAACTCTCACTTTAACAAAAACATACAGATATATATATATATTTATATATATATTTATATCCTAGCGTCCATTGCTTTGACAACATCTCTTGATTTCGTAGATTGGCTCGTTCACCTTCTGCTGTTTCTTCCCAGACGGAGCTTCTGCTTTGAGGATGCTGGTGTCCATGGCCTCGATGTCCTTCACCACCAGACCAAACAGCTTATCACAGAAACTGAACACCAGCTGAGGGACAGGAGGTGGACCACAGAACATTAGTGTCACTCTGCTCTCTCTCTCTGTGTGTGTGTGTGTGTGTGTGTGGAACTACACAGGAACCTGTTGAGAGACAGAGAAGGACTGGTTGTTGAACTGCTGGATGAACTCGGCCGCCATCTTGTCAGAGTCGTAGGGAGACGAGTCCGTGCTCTTCTTCTGCAGGAAGTCAATTTCAATGGTCATGGCACCGATGCACTGCTTGGACTTGTCAAAGTTGTAGTTGGACACTGTCACACACACACACACACACACAGAGTATTAAATGGTGGCGTGACATCGTGGTCTGTTGAGCCGAGCATCACAATCGTTTCCTTTTTTATTAACATTTCATCTGTTGTGAGAAAACACTACCTTCGACCTCCTGACCAATGGAAAGCCCCGCCCACTTCCTCTGTGCCAGACTGAAGGCAATAGTTCCAGGGGTGACACTGTGGTGGGTTTTGACTGTGAAGACAAACTTGTGGTTGGGGGTCGTCTTCACGGTCACGTGTCTGCAGAGAAAGGACAGAGTTGGTGTTTGAGGTCCGTACGGACCGGCGCCAGAGAAGAGGAGGTGAAAGTGACGACTCACTGTCCCGACGGCAGGTCCTTCTCGTTGGCCACGGCACAGTTGGTCAGGGACAACTCGTCCGTTGGACATCGAGCTGCTTGCATGGTCTGAGAAGACAAGAGGAAGAGGAGGAGGAGGAGGAGGAGGAGGAAGATTAATGTTCTTCTTTGTAAAACACTGTACGGAGAAGAAGGAGCAGGAGGAGCTGCACCTGGTACCAGAGCTACACCTGGTACCAGAGCTACACCTGGTACCAGAGCTACACCCGGTACCAGAGCTTCTGGTCCAGGGTGGAGATATGATCAAAGCTCTTTTATCATATCTAACTCAACAAACTTCTTCTTCTTTATGGATTTTATTTTTGTTGCCAAATCTCTACATTTGACCAAAAAGTCTTCATTTTAAATGACAGTAGAACAAAGACCTGCCTTGATGGAATCATCCTTTTATCTTTCTGTCTGAAGCACTGAAGGTGATGTAATCACACTGGTTGCCGGGGACAACCCGTGTTTCCAGGCTGCAGAATGTTCCACTCCATGATTATTCCAACATTGATCATTTAAAAAATGTAAGTTCCACATGAAGCCACTAGGTGTCCCACTCCCATCACAAACACAAGTAAATCCAGCTCTGATTTACACGCTCTCCTACAGTGCCTTACCCACAATGCACCTCAACCACTGACAGCTCAGATGTTATTAGTGTGAGACCACAGAGTCAGAGTTCCTGCAGCTTTTATTAAAAAAAATCCTCTTCTCTGTATGACAGTAAGTGCAGCCGAGGTGTGAATTCTTGAACCGTTCTCAGCTGCAGCCCAGAAGAACCGGGAGGAACAGTTTGATGGTGTGGTTACCATGGCAACTGCACGAGAACTTGGTGGAAGACAAAGCATCCTTTACCACAGTCACATGGAG